ATATCTTCAAGTAGGCACAGGAAGCTGAGAGAAACTGGAAATCTGGCAAGGCTTAAGGACTCTCAAAGCCTGTCCCCAGTGACATGCTTCCTTCAACATGGCCACACCCCCAAAAGGTTTGATGATCCTCCCCAAATGCTCCATGAACTGGGGACCAAGTGTCCAAACACTTGGACCCTATAGGGGACACTACATTCAAACCACCACAGTGGAGGAACACTGCTTTCTGTGCTTTGTGGTTTGCTCCCTCTGTCCTGTGCTCAGTCTGCTTACTTTTTTAAACTTTTACTTATTTATAGTTTATGAGTGTTTTGCTTTGATGTATTAAATGCAAACCCATGGAGGCCAGAAGAAGGTGTCAGAACTGGAGTTACAGATGGTTGTTAGCCACCGTGTGGATGCTGGGAACCAAATCTTGGTCCTCTGAAAGAGCAGTCAGTGCTTTTAACTACTGAGCTATCTCTCCAGCCCCTCAACCTGCTTTCTCATACAACCTAGGACCACCTGCCCAGGGGTAGCACTGCCCACAATAGGGCTGGGCCCTTCTACATCAATTAACAATAAAGAAAATGCCTTTCAGACATGGCCACAGGCCAATCTGATGGTGGAAATGCCTCAACTGAGGTTTCCTCTTCCAGGTGTTTTCACAACTGAAGCTATCTAGAAGCTAAAAAGTGCTTGCCTTGCAAGCATGAGTACTTGAGTTTAGATCCTCAGCACCCATGTAAAAAGCCAGGTACAGCAGGTGGGCACACAACTGTAACCCGATGCTAGGGAGGCAGAAGTAGACTGATCCCGAGAGCTCACTGGCCAGCCACCTTGGCTGAATTGGTCAGCTCTATGTTCACTGAGAAACCCCATCTCAAAAAATAAGGTGGAAGGGACTGAAGAAATGGCTCAGCTAAGAGCACTAGCTGCTCTTACAGAGTACTTGGGATTGGTCTCCAGTACCCACATGGCAGCTAACAACTGTCTGTAACTCTACATGGTGAATCTGACACCCTTTTTTGGCCTCCTTGGGCAGACAGTTGTGATGCACTTCCATACAAGCAGGGAAAACATACATGTAAAAAGAAATTTAAAAAAATTAAAGGTGGAAAATGAGAACTATTGATGACATCCACCTCTGGCCTCCACACACATTCATGCACATGTGCAACACAAACACACACACACAAACTAATCAGTGATACATTTTTTTAAAAAAAGCTGTCTGTGTAAAGGTACCTTCATCACAGCATCACATTTTGTGATGAAAAACTGTCAACTATGTCAATATGTCAAAACCCTAAAAAAACTCAACTATGTCAAAAGCCTAAAAATGGCTCAGCGGAGGCTAGGGAATACCAATCTGAAAAATCGTGTTTTAAGAATATCACAATCATACATGACATTATGGTAAAAAAGGATGATAAAACTCAACATACACAATGCATTCTATTTTCTAAGACAAATATTTATGTGTATATATTTAGAACATAAAGTCATGGAGGAAAACAAAATAAGGAAATGTTAAGAGCACATGTTTCTAGGTGATTGGATTGTAAGGAACTCATGTTGTACTGAATAATTTTTTTCTACTGTTTAAATTGTATCAGTTTTTGTCACTTTAGATTCATGAAAAAGGAGTCCTACTGGTCCTTGAAAATATGTCGATATCTATCCAAGCCTTTTCTAATCCTAACCCTGTAGTATGTAGTTTTGTTCCTCTACAACATCTACCCCATCCTTCTCTTGCCCCCTCCTACCCCAAAGAATTGAAAGGGGAAAGGATATTGGCTTCTTTCCATGTGTTTACATGCCTATTAATAGACTCCCAATTTCTGCCATTCTTTTTTTTTTTTAACCCCTGGTGACCATAGTCCTTCATGACCCCTGAATGATGATAAATGATGTTCCTTGAAGTGTCTCAAGCCATACCATTTACTCTTGGGTGATGGGTAGGCAGGGTTACAGGAAAGAGAAAACAAGAAGGGCAAATCATATATATGTCGCTAATAGAGGAGGGGGTGTAGTAGGCAATTTGAGGGCTGGTTGTTACAGATCTGAAAAATGAAACTTCATCAAAGATGGGGTTTGAACATAGTTCCAAATCTACTTTATTTTTTTTAAAAGGCAAGATCTTGGTGTAACATAAGCTGACCTCGAGCTTGTTATGAAGCCCAGGATAGCTTCAAGCTCATGGTGTTCCTGCTTTAGCCTCTGAGTGCCAGAATTATAGAAGTGTGCTACCATGCCTGCTTCAGATCTACCTTTATGAGTTAAACCTGTGGTGCTTGACTTTTGGCTCCCACTGTGCCCCAAGTCCAGGAATTCTATCACAAGCTTATACAAGGGAAAGAACCATTTCCTTCCCCTAGCTGGGGTTACTATTCTGCAAGGTCATGATCAGGCTTTATGCATCATGGAGGCACCTGAAAGGGGAGAGGGTGAATTCATACACTGCATTCTCTGAGCTGGTAGAGAAGGGGCAGAAATTAATGGACATTTAGCTGTGACCAGACCACAGATTTAAAAAGAGTAGCCTAGTACAAAGAGAGGGATCTGGATTTGGGGAGTACTGACTGAGTGCCAGCCCTATATTGTGCAAGAAATTTCTCTTAAGACAAGGCTCCTTCTCTGTTAAGTGAAGAGGACCACTGCCCCAGAGGAGGGTGGGAATTCAAGGAGAAGCATATGGCAATATACAAGGAAAGCTGACAAAAAGAATAGTGTTTGAGTTTTAAGGGGGCAAAAATCTGTCAGGATTGCTTCCTTAAAAAACAAACAGCTGGGCGTGGTGGCACACACCTTTAATCCCAGCACTCAGGAGGCAGAGGCAGGTGGATCTCTGTGAGTTCAAGGCAAGCCTGGTCTACATAGTGAGCTCCAGGATGGCTGGGGCTACAGGGAGACCCTGTCTCAAAAAGACCAAAACAAACAAAAAACCACGATACTAAATGTGGTATCACAAGTCTATAATTCCAGCATTTAGGAGTACTGAGGCCCAAGTTCAAGGCTGGTCTGAGCAATATAACAAGATTTAAGCAAGCCTGGGCTACATAGTGAGATGCTACCTCAACCCCTCCCCCCAAACAAAAACAAAAATAACATTAAGGAAACAAGACATGTTAATTATCAAGGTATTTTTATCTTAAACATAAAGCTTAAGGCATGGTTATTATTGTGGAACTTTTTATAGCATATGATCATTATTCTATTTTATATTTTCATGTTTATCATTGTTAAAATTACTCATGTAATTAACCTAAATATTTTACCAACTTTGAATCAAAATCATAAGTGTCCCTATGTATAAACAGGAATCTAACACAATTTGTTTGATCAGAAAAATCCTTATTCATTGCACTGGATAGCTTTAGTGTCACCTTGACACACCTGGGTTGAGGGAGCCTCAATTGGGGAATTTCCTTCATTGGACTGGCTGTGGCCATATCCATGGGGGCACCTTCTTGATTGTTGAGTGATGTGGGAGGGCCCAGTCCACTGTGGGTGGTGCCATCCCTGGGCAGGTGGGCCTGTGTTGCATAAGAAAGCAGGCTGAGCACAGGCCAGGGGAGCCAGCCAGTAAGCAGCATTCCTCCCTTCATGGCCTGTGCTCTGTCTGGCTCCTGCCTCCAGGTTCCTGCCCTGAGTTCCTACCTTGGGCTCCCTGATGAACTGTGACCGGGATATGGATGCTAAATAAACCCTTTCCTCCCCAAGTTGGTATTGGTCAGAATGTTTTGTCACAGCAGTGGGAAAACAAACTAGGACATTCATCCAAGAAAGCAAGAGGTGAAATATTTCCTTTGAAAATGTGCATTATTTTTGTATATAACTAGTTTATAGCTAAAATGGTAATTCCATTCTAAAAAAAACCCCTGAAATCTGATATCACAACATTTTTTCATATTACAGGTGTCCACTGGTCTCTGTGGAGAATTGGTACTGGGACCACTACAGAAGCCAAATCTGCCATGGCTGGTGTGCCTCATATAAAACAGTATTCCCATATAACCTAAACATGCCTTCCTGTATACTTTTAAATCACTTCTAGATTACTTAGAATGCATAATACAGTATAAATGCTCTGTAAATAGTTGTTATACTATATTAAGAGGTAATGACAGAAGTCTGCATATATTCAGAACAAACACAATATTTTTAAATAATTTAAATCCATGATTGGTAGAATTCACAATATAGAACCTACACAGATGAAGGGCCATTGTTCATGCCTTTTATTTTTTAATTTTTAAAACTATTTTTAAAATTTTTATTTATTTTTATGTGTATGCATGTATTGCCTGCATGTAGGTAAGTGCACCCATATTGTACAGTGCCTGAGGTGGTTGTCAGGTGCCATGTGGGTGCTGGGAATTGAACCCAGGTCCTCCAGATCTTCAACCAGTGTTCTTAACCATTGAGCCATCTCTCCAACACTTGTTTATGCCTTTAAAAATAGCAGGTTATTGGCTTTTTTTTTTTTTTTTGGTCTTTTTGTCCTGGAACTCACTATGTAGCCCAGGCTGGCCTTGAACTCACAGAGATCCGCCTGCCTCTGCCTCCCAAATGCTGGGATTAAAGCTATGCGCCACCATGCCCGGCTATTGTTTATTTTTAGTAAGTCACTTAGCAAATCATTTCTGCATTCCATTGCTGCAGCATGCATTATGCTACTTAGTTTCCAAAATTTCAGAGTTGCAGCTTTGTTATTAGCATGTAGTGTCTGCTGGATAGCTTTAGTGTCAACTTGACACACCTGGTTGAGGGAGCCTCAATTGGGGAATTGCTTTCATTGGGCTGGCCTGTGGCCATGTCCATGGGGCACCTTCTTTATTGCTGAGTGATGTGGGAGGGCCCAGCCCACTGTGGGTGGTGCCACCCTTGGGCAGGTGGGCCTGTGATGCATAAGAAAACAGGCTGAGTAGGGCCAGGGGAGCAAGCCAGTAAGCAGTATTCCTCCATAGCCTGTGCTCCAGCTCCTGCCTCCAGGTTCCTGCCCTGAGTTCCTACCTTGGGCTCCCTGATGAACTGTGACCTGGGAGATGTAAGCCAAATAAACCCTTTCCACCCCAAGTTGGTATTGGTCATAGTGTTTTGTCACAGCAATGGAGAAGCAAACTAGGACACAGTGCCATGCTAAGAGGTAACCTTTTACCACACCTTATGTTTTCTGCACAGTCCCTTCCCTCCCAGATTGATAAGGCTTGCAGTTTCCAAAGAAAAAAGAAAAAATCTTTTTGGGAAACTCTAAATTTATATATAAAACAGATAAACACACACACACACACACACACACACACACACACACACACAATGGAGGGTATTCCTAGAAGAGATCAGCATCAGAGACGTTAACTGAATAAAAATTAAAGTTTTGCTGAGATTGTCTTCTCTTCACCACCCAGGTGTTTGTGGAAGAAAGTCTGGAGTTGCTGCCATGCGTCCACCTGGGCCATGGCATGAGCCCTGGGCTCCCCTCCCCACATGACAGGACCACCAATTAAGCTGTGCAGGGAAGCCTTACAGAGGGGGAAGTAAGGGGGTTCAATGTAGTGCCCCGTCTTTGGGTAGCAGATGATCTGGGGCTTTTCCTTCCCATGGGCCTGTAAGCGTTTGGAGGCCTCAGTGGCATAGAATTCGCTCTTCCAGTTGTGGTCATCCTGACCTACTAGGAACAGGAAGGTGGTGTCAGACCTCTCCACAGGAATCAAGCTCTTCTGGTCAGGTCCTTCAAAAGGATTATTCAGGACATCCACAATGTCTCTGAGGCCATCTTTAGTCACCTTGATTCGTCTTTTGTTTGTGCCTACTTGAAACAGGGTCTCATCCTTGAAGTGTAAAGTTCCTCCAACATTGACCATTGAGCCATTGATTATGACAGCAGCCGTGATGTTCTTCAGGAAAGAGGCCATGGAGAGGCAGAGTTCACCCCCTTTGGAAATGCCAAGCAGCCCAACTCCTGGACCCTTTACCTAAGAAAGGCACAAAGAGAAAAGGAGAATAAGCCCACAGAGAGGGTAGGACAGTGACGGGTACCTGCCCTTAGACATCAGGTGGCCCTGAGCCTGACTCTATACCATCTTGGCTTTAGAAAGGTTATTAGGCTTTTACAAAGCTTAGTGTTCTAGCAGTAAGATGACCTCTAGGCCAGAGTCCACTTGAGCTCAAATGGGAAATCCAAGTAAAGTCCTGAGCATGATGTATATGAAGTACTCAGACAAGTCCAGAAAATGTTCACTATTTAGCCTGTGGTGCCTGTGAGTGCAGTGTCCACTGCATTCACACAAGTTCACACAAGGAAATGTGAAAAGTATGAAGGTGAACCCAGGTAAGGTTATAAGATGCATGTGTAAATACTGAGGGAGAGAAGGCCTGTTCTTCAGGGAACATTTTTCTTCCTGAAAATAGTCCCCCCCCCCCAAATAATCGTTGTGGTAATTAAATAGCTGCCTAGCAGATACAGTATATTTGTGCAGTATGAAATCGGGGCTGGAGAGATGGTTCAGCAGTTAAAGAGCACTGGCTGCTTCAGAGGACCTGGGTTCGGCTGAGCACCCACAGGGCAGCAAACAACTGCCTGTAACTCCAGTACCAGGGGATCTTCTGACCTCCATGGGCACTGCACAACATGGGTCCACTTACATACATTTAGGCAATACACTCAGTCACATAAAATAAAAATATTTTAAAATCACTATTGGGTACATAATGGGAAACAACCCAATAAATGTATGCCTCCTTGGCAGATTCTGAATCATCAATTTCCTTCTGTATTTATTTTGTTTCTGACATGGACGTGATAGCAGATACTAAAAGGTCTACAAAAACATAATTGCTACAGTGATCTAGACAACCAACAACACTATAACTAACAGAAAGTCTTCAAAATGAGTCTTTTCCCCTTCACTTAGCTTCACTATTCCTCATCAGTGTTCTGTTAATTTCATCAACCCTGAATTTTACAATTCCCCTTTCCTTGGCAGTCCTTTTCCTACCCTCCACACTGTGTTCTGACTCATGTAGACATGACCTTGTCTATGCTGTATCTAGACCCACTAATGTTGTATGAATGAATACAAGCTTAAAGTAAATGTGGGGTATAGTTCATGGGCTTCATAAGTGTGAGTCATTTAACACTCATTACAAACATGGAGGCGGACAACAAAGTCACAGATACAGAGCAGCAATGTACTATAAGGTGATGAATACTCATGATTTGCCTTGACTGTACCTCAGTTTTAGAGGAAGAAGCTCTCTCCCCTCAGCATAGTGGGATAGTTAACCACCTTACATGAGATTCATACTTTGTACTGACCATTCCGTGCCCCATGAGACCATCGCACTTTAGAAACACACTTTGCTCTGAATTTGGAAAAGACTAAATATTTGATTGTGATAACGCCTCAAGCTACTGATCTGCAAATCCAGCTTTGGCTAGGGGAGGCACTTAGGACCCTGAAATGAAAACTAAGACTATGTGACCAGACAACCTGAGGGTGACTGAGCAAGTAGTTCACAGCTTCTTCAAAGTACTCCAGGTGGAGGATGTCCATGTCCTTAGGGAGGTCATCATAGTTATAATAAGCCAGAGCCAGGACAGCGAAACCTTTCCCAGCCAGCAGACTTGCACGGTACTCCAGAAGGCCACCTCCAGTACCAAAAAGGTCTATGATCCCAGGATAGGGCCCAGGTCCTTGGCAAGAAAAAAACAAAAACATAATGTCTTGAAATCTTTTAGTTTATTTGAGGGACCAGGTAGAGGGACATGGAACATCCAAGCCTCTTTTCCTGTTTTGAAAAACAAAGTCCAACCAGACTGTCATTATTAGTGGGCTCCAGGATCTTACCTTGCATAAAAACCACAAGTAGGGAATCTTCCAAACAGGTAGAGTTGGGAGTTTCCTCAGGCAAATAGCATTGCACTGAGTGCACAGCAGCCCCAAGTGACCAGCATTGGTGATCTTCAGGGTTGCATGGATGCAAAATGTTCCTAAACCAATGGCCTTGGAATAAGTATCTTTCCTATTTAAGTAACACAGTGTCTGTTTTTTGAAGTTTGCAACCCAAAAATGGATTGGTTGTGCTTCCATGTTTTGTGATATCAAACCATCACTGGTTTTCTTGGAATCATCCGGAAAATAGTTCTAAATTCTCATGCAACACCCACCTTTGTATAACTAAAGCTTGTAGTTTTCATGGTTGCCCTCAAAATTATTAAAGTGGGGAGAGCAGGGCAGAGGAGGGAGTATAGGGATATAGGGAGAGATAAGTAACACTAAAGGCCCACAGAAAAAAGCTATATGGGGAGCTGGAGAGGTGGCTCAGGAGTTAAGAGTACTTACTGCTCTTGCAGAGGACCTTGGTTCAATTCTCAGCACCCACATGGAGGCTAACAACCATCTGTAACTTCAGTTCCAGGAGAATTGGATGCTGTCTTCTGACCTCCACAGGCATTGTATGACACAGGTGCACTTACGTACATGGCAGGCAATACACTCATACACATAAAATAATATTTTAAAAAGAAAAATCCATATGGAAACCTACCATTATAGAAGCTTCTTAAAGTATCTTTTTATGATATCATAAAAAGAGATTAAAAGGAGTTATCCTGTAACAGGGGGACATTTTCATAGGCTAATGAAAAAAGAAACCTCAATGCCAGGAATGGACTCCTCTAGAAGCTGTTGACCAGGGGTCATTGCTCAAAGAATACTGGCCATTGCCCCTGCTCTTGGTTACCTACTGGAATAGTCTTTTGGTTTTGATTTGAGAGTCCTAAATGTCTCCCCACGCTAAGGTTGGATGGTAAGACCCTATTGCTGAAGCATTACATGAGCTGTAGTACAAGGAGAAATCAAGCTGGTGCTGACTTCAGAGCCTCATCTTTCCTACCTAGCGTTCATAGTGTTGGAAGGCACGCTACCAGAAGGAGAAAAGCATCAACCTTACCCAGCTGTGAATCCTGTGAACTCTAATAACAACTGGCCTGGTAAGCTATGCCACCAGTGCAGTGGTGGCACAAATATGAGAATAACTAACCACCTTTTAAACTGGATTTAAGGTCCACTTCCTAGGATGGAGCCCATACCTGACATTGATATTAGGCTTAGGAATCTGAGGCTAGACAGGTCACAGGGAGAATCTAATTAGTTTTCTTCTAAATAGTTATTGTATTAAAATTCTATGTGAGTGTTTTGCCTGCTTGTATGGAGTTGCACCTATGCATGAAATGCCTTCAGTGGCCATAAGAGGGCACTGGATCCCCTGGAACTGGAGTTACAGACAGTTCTTAGCCACCATGTGGTGCTGGGAACTGAACCTGGGTCTTCTGCAAGAGCAGCCAGTGCTCTTAACCACTGAGCCATCTCTCCAGCCCCAAAAATGTTTTAGAAATTTACCTTAGTTTTTATTTTTCTATTTTTATTGAATTTTTGTGTTTTTTAAAAAAATTTTATGTGTATGAGTGTATTGCCTGCATGTATGAGTGCACCCATGTAGTGCAGTGCTGCAGAGGTCAGAGGAGGGCTTCGGATTCCCCTGGAACTGGAGTTAAGAATGGTTCATACCCGCCATGTGGGTGCTGGGAATTGAACCTGGGTCCTCTGTAAGAGCAGCCAGTGCTCTTAACCACTAAGCCATCTCTCCAGCCCCCAATTTTTGTGCATTTTATACATCTTAATCATATTTAGACCCCCTCCCGTACGTGTATCTCCTCCAGTCTCCCCCACCAGATTTCATGAATTATGTCATATATGTTAAGGCATATTGAGTCAAGTTTGTATCCCCAGATGTCCCTCAGTGTCACTCCCTTAAAGACGACCAACTCTTCCTCACTCATAAGTGATCACCTGCCAATATTTCGTCAGCTAAGGTTAAGGCTTCTTACCAATTTCTTCACTTTTATGCTGAGATTTTGTCGGGTTTGAGTTTGCATGGATCTTCATGCTGTCACCATTGCTGTAAGCTCATACAATCAAGTTCCCAGATGCCTGAAAAACTGTTTCCTTGTGGTCATCCACCACCTGACTCTTAACAGTCTTTCCACTCTCTCTTCTGAAGTGGTCCCTGAGGAGTCCTAGCCAGGGATATATACTCTGCAGTCTCTTATTCTCCAATTTTGGCCGCTTGTGGCTTTCTGTGTTAATCATCATCTATTGCATGAGGAAGCTTTGCTGGTAAGAGTTGAGAGCTGTATTAATATTCTCTCCTCCCGTTTCTCAGTCTTAGGTGTAGAGGTTGCATTGTAGATGTTTCACTTAGGGCTGGGTGTCTCAGATATTTATTCTGTGTGTTTGACAAGTTGGGGAACTCTGTAATAGACTCCACATATTGCAAAATGAAGGTTCTTTGATGAGTGGTGAGAGGTATACTTACCAGGCTAGTCCCAAGGTATCACTCTTATTTTTAGTGTATGTGTATAAGTGTTCTCCCAGTGAGTTAGTGCATCTGTTTCATGCAATCCCACTGAGGTCAGAAGTTGAATCCCCTGGAATAAACCAGCTTTTAAGGACTTATTGTTATACCCATGGATTAACGCATCCCTAATGCAGAAACCCACAACTGGCCAACATGCAAAGAGTAAGAGGCTGCACTGTGCTTAACCCTGCCTGAATAGGACATCTATATTTCAAACTTCTGCCTCCCAAGGCTCAGGGATCATTGCAGAAGAGCAGTGGAAAGATTGTAAGAACCAGAAGTGGTGGATGGCCACAGGGAAACAAAGATTTTTCCAGACAGCTGGTCAGTTACTCATATGAACTCATAGCAATGGTGACAGAATACATAAGTCCCATGCAAGCTCAAACCAGAAAAAATCCCAGCATAGACACAAGGAAGTGGGTTAGAAATTCCAACCCCACTTAAGGAAATACTGGCAAAAGATGGCTGCTGGGAGGGGCAGAGACAACCTCTTTCAAACATGGGATTCTTGGTAGGTTAACCAAGTCCAATGGTTGAACCCACACAGAAGGACATTTGGGGACACAAATTAGCCTCTGTAGGCCTCAGTGTGTGTGTGTGTGTGTGTGTGTGTGTGTGTGTATTAGAGTATATTAAATTGATTGGGGGGAATAAGAGGAGGTAAGGATGGAGGAGGGAACCTAAATACCATCAAGTTATAGTATATGAACTTCACAAAATTTCAATTAAAAATCATCAGAGTGAGGCCACATCCCATCTACATTTGTTGCAACAATTTTCTAGGATCTTTGTAATTAGAACAAAATGTATCTTTTTGAGATGGTCTCATGTAGCCCAGGATGGCATTAAACTCGCTACATAGCTAAGCACAACCTTGAATTCCTGATTCTCCTGCCTTTACCTCCTCAGTGCTAAGGTTATAGGCATAGGCCAACAAACCCATTTTATGCAGTCTTGGGGACTGAACCCAGGCCCTCTTGCATGCTAGATAAGCAATCAACTAAGATATGTGCCTTACAATTTATTTTATTTTTTTCTTTTATGTGTATGAGTGTATTGTCCACATGTGTGTAAGTATACCCATGTCATGCAATGCCTGAGGAGATTAGAAAAGGGTGTTGGATTCTCCTAGAACTGGAGTTACAGACAGTTGTTAGCTACCATGTGGGTGCTAGGAATCAAGCCCAGGTCCTATGCAAGAGCATCCAGTTCTCTTAATCACTGAGTCATCTCACCAGCCTTAAAATTTTAACTATGAAGGACCCAGATGATTATTTTCTTTCCCAATTGTTAGGGAGGTGCTCTGTACTTTAGAGAACACTGAGGAATTTGTAATTTGGCTACTTTTTGCTATCATTAAGGTTGTTGCTTTTTTTTTTCCTTTATAGGACAGTGATCACTGTACACTCCAGGTGCATTTTTCTAGGACTACATATGCAAATTATGTATCTTGGTTATTTGTATTGTACATAAACACTTGTTCACTTAGAAACAAGATATCATGCACATTTCTGCAGTTGATTCTTTCATACACCAGTATATTCTGGACATCCTTACATCCTCCTACATCAGTACACACAGATTCACCTCATTTTTGACAGTTTCAGATCATCTGAAGATTGAATATAGGAAAATTCCATTCTATGATGGACATCTAAGTTGTTTACTGTTTCCACTCTGACAAATATTGCTGCAAACACATTTGGGAACTAGAGTAGGAGAGGTTCCTGGAGGTCTTTTTAAAATTAGACTTGAAGTCAATGGCTTGAAGGGGGCTCAGTAGTGGTATAGGTTATCAAACACAGGAAACAATCAGGAGCGGATCTCCATCTAGAGCAGGGGACTGTCTGATATTGGGGAGATGAGGACGGCATAACTGTAAACTGCAATTAATATATAATCAGTATATGGTAAGGAAAAAATTAATTTTCAAGAATCACACAATATGAAGCATTCCAGAGTCCCCAGGAAATTCTGAACCTTAAAAAGTGTCCTAACTGGGCTATCAGGCTGTGGCAGAGTAAAAAAGGAAACATACTTGCCCACAAAGCCAATAATAATGACTACCCACGGAAGAGATCTTTTATTATATAAACCATTGAATTCTTGAATTTTTGCTTATTATTTAAATATGTAACCATTAAAATATTCTAAAGGCTGTTTACCAAAAAACTACTTTCTCGGTTTTACATCTCTTCTATATCCTAGAGCAGTATTAAGGACACTTAAACTTCCTAAACGAAGTGCTATCCGTTACATAAATACTATGCCTAAGAGCTGGAAAGATGGCTTAGCCATTAAGAGCACTGGCTGCTATCGCAGAAGGCCTGTGCTCGATTCCCAGCACCCAGATGGCGACTAACAGTCCATAACTACCGTTCCAGGGGATCCAACACCCTCTTCCGACCTCCGATGGCTTTGCATGACACAGGTGCACTCAATACACATGCAGGCGATACACACACACACACACACACACACACACACACACACACAAAAATACCATGTCCTTGACCTTGAACCTTTACAAAACGACACTCAGCACTTTCAACTATGACCTCTAAGGGCCCGTGGGGAGTCTGGGAGCGAGGCAGGGAGAAGGGGCCCAGGTGATGCACCTATGAAGCATCCCAGGCCAAGGACAGAGATGCAGGTCGGCTCACCTGGAGGCAGGAAGAGCGTGGCGCGCACCCGGCCCGCGCGCACGGGCACCCGCCGCACCCCGGGCGGCAGGAAGTGGCGCTCGTGCACCGCCCGGGCCAGCAGCCGCCCGCCGTCGGGCTCGTGGCCGTCCAGCACCTCCAGCTCCAGCACGAAGGGCGTCTGCACGTCCCGCTTGAGCAGGCGCCAGAGAGGCCTGTCGGGCTCCAGGGCCCAGAGCAGCCCCATGGGCTCGAGCCCCGCGAAGCTGCCGCCCAGCGCGGGCGCGCGCGCCAGGTCCAGCTCGCCGCCGGCGTCGGCGCGGTAGCGCGCGTGGGCGCGGAAGAGCACGGCTTTCTCGTCGCTTAGGGCCGTGCGCAGCGTGACGGGCTGCTCGGGGGTGAGTCCGCGCACGGTGATGCGCAGCGGCTCGTCCCAGCAGCTGCGGCCCGCGGGCTCCAGGAGCACTGTAGGAGCCATCTGGTTCTGGGCAGTCAATAAATGTATTTCCTAGGGAGACTCCAGATTAAGGTGGGAGGTTCTAGACGTCCCTGGATTTATTGCTATTAAACCCACCCCCGCTCTTCCATTGGCTGGGAACCGCTGTGCCAAGCCTCCTAGCGTGCCCTGGATGACTTTGAGTGTCGAAATGTTTGTAAAAGACCACTGAAACTGAAAGACTGGGGAAAGTGTCTTTCCAAAAATCCGGATTTTGCGGAAGTATCCCAAGGGATGTAATTCTGGAGAAACAGGGCCTTATCCCTCCTTAGGTCACCCAGGGCCCACCACTACCAAGCCTTTACTTAGAGCTATTGGAGCTTGGAGCCACTTCCAGAGCAGTTAGATGCTTATAGAGTCTGACCGGCCTGCTCTGATTCTGCACCTAACTTATCTTCCAAATGGTGGTGGTTTTTGAGTTCCGTCGTCCCGTGGTCCAGGCTGGCCTTGAATTTGCTGTATAGCTGAGGATGACCTTGAGCCCCTGATGCACCTACCTCTACTTTCTGAATGCTGGGCTTACAGACAGGCCACCACACTCCACTTTTCCAGTTCCTGACCAAGTTATGTAAGTAAGTCTCTGAATCCGGTGTCAATATCTGAAAAGCTTTCCTGGGATTTCAAAGGACTAACGTGTGAAAACATGGCTCATACTAAGCAGGGGAATAGTGTTTTCCAATTCAGTGCACAATTATTAGTCTGGGACTTGTATCAGAGTTCAGGCAAGAAAAAAGTTCAGGCAAACTGGAATACTTTAAAGGATTTCAAAAATTAACTATTTACAAAAGCATGGGCAACTACTGTGGTAAAAACAGAAGCCAGGGTTCAAAGGTGTGTTAAAGCTGTGAGGTTGGGAATACTAGGGAAATAAAAGGGGCTTGTACCTGAGTGTGAGATAGCTAAGCTGACCAGATAGAAGAAAAGACAGGGCTCTGGGGCTCTATTCCAGTGTGGGCAGGCCCACCAGCTTCTCCTGAATATGCATGTGTCCCCAAGGAACATATTCAAGGCATTGTTGCCCTTTCATGTATTCTAATACAGCAAAGTATAGCAGACTAAGTTGGAACTGCTCCTAAAAAGCCACCGCCTAGTCCCAACTGCCCCACAAATGAGGAGCTAAATATGAGGTAAGAAAGAAAACTACCTACTTCTTGGTAGTGTGTTAAGCTTTAACTCTCCCTAGACAGTGAAGGAAAAAGGCTCATAGTAAAACTACAAACTGAGAGCATAGTTTGAGGAACAGCTAGCTGGCCCCACCAACAGCTAAGACCAGCAACACTGCAAGGTCAAAAAGTAGCAACATAGGCCAGGACTAAACACCAGAAGACAGTCCAGTTAACAATTGACAAAGCAGAAGTCAGAGATAGAGAGGGGCTTCAGTCACCTCTAACTAGACAAGCAGTGCACAAACAGCACAGGATCATCTCCCTGAATGACCAGGGGGATATGAATAGAGTGTGTGTGGGCCTTCCTTTGGCTCAGCTTGGGGTGTGCTCAGAGAATTTTCCGGTTTCAATAGAAATTACCTCAGTCTTTGTCCAGTTTCTGCACTGCTCCAGAGATGAGCCATAAATTTGTTGTATAAATAGAATGAGAGATTGACTGATAAAAATGCATTATTTGTCTGGGCTTGGTGGCACACACCTTTAATCCCAGCACTCGGGAGGCAGAGGCAGGTGGATCCTTGTGAGTTCAAGGCCAGCCTGGTCTACATAGTGAGTTCAGGTCAGCTGGGACTACAGGGAGACCCTGTCTCAAAAAGACAGAAAAAAAAACCCCCCAAAAAACCCCTGAACAAAACAGAAACCATTCAAGATCCTGTAAGAACATCTCTTCCCAAATTCAGACTGGTAGATAAGACCTGCCTTTCTTCTTGATACTTTATTAAAATAGGATAATTGAGTATGTCCTGCAGTTTCTCAATATTCAGAAATTCTCCTTATCAACTTTATAGGAAGAATGAGGGAATTACATAAGATAACTTGAAAGAATAATCCTTAGTCACACAGACTATTAGTAAAAATGGAAACCAGTCTTCCCAGTTGGGCAGTTGCTGGGCAGATATTCTTACTAGGTATTATTGATAGTAGTAGTATTTCTATTGATACTATTTTTTATAAGTGGCCTTTAAGTTGTGTTTCTAGAAGACTTTTATTATAGTATCAGGTTAATGTGTGTGAGAACCTTTTCTTTATAACCTTCGAATTTATGTATTTAATGAATTTTATTTTGTTAGAAATGACATAAGAAACTCGAATTTGGTTCTGAGAACTTCCACATTTTCCCCACTTGATCAAGATTTTCTATAAAAAACACTATTGATCAATCATTGTTTGTTAGACCTTGACCGTCTCTTGTTGGCAGGATGGGCCTGTCTTGGTTAGACTTCCATGTCAGTGTCAAGACCTAGTTAGCTGTATTAGAGCAAAAAGAAGGTTTAAGAGTGGTTATGAGGTTAAATTCATCTGGATTCCGTTGCTAAATTCAACTTCATATGTTCTGTAGATGATGATATCATCTCAAAGCACTGGGTCAGTATTGCTCTGTTAGGCATTGTAAACCCAGAATTTTGGTAGGCAATAGGTACTAAGTTTGAAAAAGAAAATGTAACCAAAAAGAGCATACTAAAAAGACTTTGCATAATTTTAAATCAAGAACTTAGTACTAAGATTGACAAAATGATATTACTAGGGATCAGGGTGAGCTCAGATGTGATCCCACAGGCTGAGCTCTTTTTTTAATGTACTTCATATTCAGTTTCCCACATTCAGCATGGAGTGTTAGCAACAACACAGACATTTCCCTGTTTGATCAAGAAATACTATGGAGTCATTTTATCACTTGACATTTCCATCATTGGGTTGAATTAAGAGTATGCTAGAGAGATACCAGTAGTATAACTTAAAAAAAAAAGTTGAATTGGGATGTTGTCAGTGGTAGGTGGTAGATGGTAGACCAAAGGATTCTTTAGGTCAAACTCTGTCAGGTTGCTTGCAGTAGCTAGTGACTGTGAAGTTTTAAATGCCATTATTCCTACCATATGAACAAAGAGAACATTAACGGTGAGTGTCCCTATGATACAGGACTTATTCTGAGATCAGTTTCTCATCCTGATTTTTAGTTACAATGTCTTTTTTTATCTTTTTGAGGCAGGGTCTCCCTGTAGCCCCAGCTGTCCTGGAACTCACTATGTAGACCAGGCTGGTCTTGAACTCACAGAGATCCTCCTGCCTCTGCCTCCCAAGTGCTGGGACTACAGACGTACGCCACCACGCCCAGCTCAGAAAGTTTCTTGAATTTAAGTATAAGTACATTTTATCAAAGTGCTCTGAGCTATGGATAGCTTATACAGGACATGACTTTATACAACAAAGACCTTTAAGTAAAGAGCCAAAAATATTTCACGTGAAACATCAAACTGAGCATGTACCTGTAATTCCAGCACTTGGGAGGCCGAGGCTGAGGCATTGCCACGAATTCAAGGCCAGCCTGGGCCACAGAGTGACACCCTATTACAGTTTTTTTTAAACATAAAACCTCCGAATATTATCAGCTTATTCATTCTTGTATAATTCTTTTTCTGTTCAATCTTTAGAAGCAGTTTGATTACTTCATCAGTATCTTCATTAGAGCTATGGAAATTTTTATTTAGTTCACTAATCTTGAACTTACCAGAAAATTGTATTCAAGTATTACCAGAGTTTTTGTTTTGATTTGTTTTTTCTTAATTACTGTTGAAAATATTTTCAGAGAGGAACCAAAACTATGTATGACAAAAGACTTGGTTAGAATTCTGATGAGAATTTAGCAATTGACAAAGTTCAGTTGTTTTCGCTGCATGCAGAATTTCGAGATACTCATGGCTCCGACTTCACAAACATCAGATAATCTTTAGAGCATTCTCATCAATAGCATATCCATGGAAACAAAACTTAAATATTCAGCATCACTGCATTATTTCATAGTATTTCCCATATAATTCATTATAGCTAATAGCTGAATGACTGTTATCTTTGCTAGGTGAGAGGATCCTTTGAGGATCTAGACAGGCCCAGTGGGGGAAATGTCAAATTCTGTAAATTTTTAGAACTTTGATCCTGAGGAAGACTTCCAAAGATGTCAAAGGTTTAAAGCCTTTGGTCAGAATTACACATCATTGTGAAATAATAGCCATTCGCTTTAACAATCAGTGATTTAGCCAGAGTTATGAATCAGGTATACAGTTATAAAGTCACTAAAAGACTTTTTAAAAACAACCATTAACTCTTTTTAGGCCCATTTTCCTTAAGTAATCAAACACTCAGTAAAAGAGCAGAAAACATAAGACATCATCGTCACAAAACACATCTGTCTTCCTAATCCAGTTACCAAAAGAGGAAGAAAATCCTCCAGGGACAGCATTCCTTCTGTCCTGGGAGCCTGTTCACATAGCCTGGAAGTCAAGCCTGCTAAAGGTGCTTGAATATAATTAGACATGGAAGAGTCTGTGTCCAAGTTCTGAGTGTGCATGTTAATATGAAGAATGGAAACAAGAAAATCAGAGCTTTGAGCAATGGACGCAGGACTCTTGGAAATGGTGAGGGCATGTGAAATTGTCTGGCTTCCCCCAAGTTCCAATACAAGAAAAAAAAAAGGAATAAAGACTGAAGTTTTCCTACACTTTAAAGACAAGCCATCTTGGTGTTAACCACAATAAAATCTTGTAGGAGCTAATGAGAGACGGAGACAGAGTGAGAAAGAGAGAGGGGGACCAGTTATTGGGAACGTATACAGGAAAAGCTATTCAGATCATGATTGGAAGAATAAGGATAGATCTCATAGTTGACTGTCAAAACCTTTGCAATTTTTTCTAAGAGCAGATGACTTTGTTAGGAAAACCTGGCCCCAGCCCCACTCTTTGTGCTATCTGGTCTACCATGGTGTGGGAGCCTTTCCCACAGGCTCCTTTGAACTCTGGCATACTTTCCCTGCCAGGATGTGCTGTAACCATGAACCCAACAAACGCTTCCTACTTTTAAATTGT